TTCCAGACAGAGAGGTAAGTCAATCACCATGGCAACTGACTCTGTGAACCTAATCTGCTTGCTGGCAGGTTTTCTTTAAGAAACCCTGACTTCACCCTGTCTCCTCCCTACTGCCAAGCCCAAAGCAAGCTGGCAGACACACATGGGTTGTTCATATGTAGGAAATGTGATTGATATCGAGGCAGAATTAATTTATAATGACACACTCGGTTGGTTGCAGCTCTGCAGTTGTAAAAGTCTTCTTTGTTCTGGTGGAGAAGTTTGTTTTTGTTTTGTAACGAGGATGACAGTCATTTTTTTTTATGACAGTACATCATTGTGACTTCATAATGAATCTCCTCCGTCTTGTCTCCACTTCCTGTCTCAGGTGTGATAAATGTGGCGAGGGTTTCACGGGAACGTGGGCTCTGAAGACCCATATGCTGGTTCACGGCATGGAGAAGCCGTTCATGTGCGACCTGTGTGGGAAGACCTTCTTCTACAACTGTCAGCTGCAGAAGCACCAGCAGCTGGTCCACAATAGCAACAAGGATGGACAGGCGGCCGGAGGTGTGGCGGGTAGACGGCGACAGGGCGCGGTTAAGCCCTACAGCTGTAAGATCTGCCTGAAGAGCTTCAGCACCAACACCACGCTGAGGACGCATGAGAAGAGCCACGCCGAGAACAAAGAGTTTACCTGCGACACCTGCGGAAAGTCCTTCCATCTGCGCCACCTGTACCTGTACCACATGAGGCAGCACAGCGGCGCCCGGCCATACGTCTGCAACGTCTGCGACAAAGGTTTCCTGCTGACATGGCAGCTGAAGCAGCACGAGCTCCTGCACACTGGCGTCAAACCTCACAAGTGTCAACAGTGTGGCAAAGAATTCAGGACTCCGCAGAACTACCACCGCCACCTGCTTGTCCACACCGGAGAGAAGCCCTACGAGTGCGTCGTGTGCGGCAGGAAGTTCAGGCAGTCCAACCAGCTCAAGTCTCACATGCAGATCCACACCGGCGTCAAGCTATACGCCTGTGAGCGCTGCGGCCATGGCTTCTCCGACTCACGGCAGCTGAAGAAACACCGCTGTGGAGAGGACTTCCAGAGCAGTGAGCCTGGCGGCAGGCGCAGGAAGCAGAAGAACGCCTTCCCCTGGACCGAGGGCTTCACGCACGAGTGACATCATCAATCGTTAAGTCACACGGGTCTGTGTGTTAGCTTAGCATAAAGACTTGAGGTGGGGAGAAACTGTTAGCTTAGCTTAGCAGAAAGACTGGAGGCAGGGGGAAACTGTTAGCCTAGCTTAGCAGAAAGACTGGAGGCAGGGGAAAAGTGTTAGCTTAGCTTAGCATGAAGACTGGAGGCAGGGGGGAACTGTTAGCTTAGCTTAGCAGAAAGACTGGAAGCAGGGGGGAAACTGTTAGCTTAGCTTAGCATGAAGACTCGAGGTGGGGGGAAACTGTTAGCTTAGCTTAGCAGAAAGACAGGAGGCAGGGGGAAACTGTTAGCTTGGCTTAACATGAAGACTCGAGGTGGGGGGAAACTGTTAACCTAGCTTAGCATGAAGATGACTAGCAGGGGGAAACTTAGCCTAGCTTAGCATGAAGATGACTAGCAGTGGGAAACTGTTAGCGGGGCTCAGTCCAGAGTTCTGACTGATAAAACCAGAGACGTGTTTCTTGTATCGATCCAGAGACATGAGATAAATATGTTTAACTATTCCTTTAAATGAATCTTCTTTACTTTTAATATTTGAAAACAAAAAACAGACTTTAATGAAACAGAAGATAATATTGTTTATAGTTTGACTGAAGAAGAAAGAACTTTGACTTCTGTTTGTTTAAATGTTTCAGCTTCACTGTTTTACTGTTGAATTAAAGGGCTGTTACTCAAATGACCTGTCTGTCTGTCTGTCTGTCCACACAAACACACTGGAGGACAGTCAGTCTTAGTCTTGCTTAGTCTTGTAAAAACTGTTAACAGTGGGATGTCAGTAGCGTAGTGGATAGTGCCGGCGCCCCACTGTACAGAGGCAATGCTTGGCTGGGCTAGGGGTAGGGTTAGGGCATGTCACCCCCCCCCCCCCTCTCCATTTCACACTGTTCTGTCAATTAAAGGCAAAAAGCCCAAAAAATAATCTTTAAAAAAAAAAAAAAAAAAAACGTGGTGGAAAGTAGTAGAGTACTGAGATTGAGTATTCAGGTACTTTAACAGAGCATTTATACATCACTACATGTATCTAACAGTTATATTGAAGTCACATCACACACAGTAACATATATATAAAGATATATTATTACGACAACAAACGTTTTGTATATAACATGAAAACATTTTGTAAAACCATCTCATAACAGAAACTCTTCCTGTTGGCACATGATCAGTTCTGTCACTGACCTGCCAGGGGCAGCAGTGAGCCTCTGCTCCGTCCGCTCTGCTGGAAATTCAAAAGAAGAAGAAGGAGGAACTGCAAAGCATAGACGTACTGTATATACCAGAGATATTGGATAGTGCGAGATACCCCACTCAGCTCACTTCCTGATTCAGTGACGTCAGCGCCACGCCCCCGTAGGAGACTTGCGGCAGCTCTGAATGTATTGTCGTCAATGAGGAAAATGAACGTGATCACAATTTATGGTCAATTCTTTCGCCCAGTAGTCACTAAAGTAAATATTGGGTTCATTTTCCACAAGCCACACATCTTACCAACATTCTGACACTAAAGCTGCATTTTTCATCCGCACAGATCAAGAGAAAATTAACTTTGTTTGAGCCCTGTCCGTCTCAGAAAACAAGTTCTCGCGAGATCTCGTGATCTTGATAAACAGGCGGTAAAATCACAGTTAG